GTCTGCTGGTTCGATGAAGTTAACTTATGATAAGAGATCTACTGAAGTCAGCTTTGAACCAGGAGACAAGGTGTGGCTGTATAATCCCAGGAAGACCAAAGGGAAGTCTCCTAAGTTGTCTTCTCCATGGGAAGGCCCATATGACACAGTGGATCGTCTCACAGACGTGACTTTCCAGATAAAATGTGGTCGGCGAGGTAAGCCAAAAGTGGTGCATGCCAACAGGCTTTGGCATTATCACGGTCCAGGACATTTCAGTTGGGATGAAGTGAACAACAGAACAAATGACGCTGTCACCTGAAAAAGCCACCGTAGAAGAAGAAACTCTACTCAGTTTTGAGAAGGGAAACGGTGAAGCTCTTAATGAAGTTACTACCACTGATGTGACTGTTACCGACGATAGGACATTTCCTGATGAAGCAGATGAACCCCATATGAAGCAGAAGCCAACGAGAAGGAGACCAGTATGGAAGAAGATACGTCCTGTAAAATTAAGAGACTTTGTTGAATTGTAATTTTGTGTTTGTAATTCTTTACATTTAATTAAGTTATTGTTAATTGTTATTGGTTTATTGTAAGTGGCTATTGTTCGGGACGAACAATACTAAGGAGGAGCAGTGTTGCGTCAGCGAGGTCACGTGACTAGTATCACGCCACCTCTTTCTAAAAATATCCTGTTCCTTCGTGAATGTTCCTGTTCCTTCCTAGCGTTTACTAGATGTGTGTTAGTGTTGTATATATAAGACCGGCCACGAAGCGACGGGGAGGTAATGAGTAATTGAATGTATGCGGATAAAATATTGTTGGCCACGTGAGACGTGAGTTATAGCGTTGTTATAGAGCGACTGTTGAAATTAAGTGTATCGTAAAGTTGTATTCGGAAAGAATAAACCAGTTTTATTTAAGAAAGGACTTGTGTCGCTAAAGTTTCGTCGGAAAGAATTTACGGAAAATTAACTAACGAACGGAGACGTTACAATACTTTTGTATCTTATAACAAAAACACCAATTTATTTTTATTCAACGCAGCTCGTTGTTTGACCAATAAATATAATGTCAACCAGTAAAAATAATAAAAATTCACAATTTGCCTTCACATTAACAAAAATATCTTCAAACATTTAAATGTATATGATATTCTAACATAAGTATATATCATATGTACTTTTCATTGAGAATTATCAACAAAAATTATTTTGAAATATGAAAAACAGAACTAATGTGTTGCTGCATTATATATGATTAATTATGGTATATACATTTTGTAACATACATTAATTCACGACAATGGCCCCCAGTGGCACAGAGGTATGTCTGCGGACTTACAACGCTAGAATCCGGGTTTCTATACCCGTGGTGGGCAGAGCACAGATAGCCCATTGTGTAGCTTTGTGCTTAATTACAAACAAACGTCACCACAATGGAGATTTTTATTGTGGTATTATATTATAATATATAAATATATGTATATAGCGCCATCTAGTGATAATAATTGATGTGGTTCAGTAGAGCGGCGAACGGACGCTTAGGTTGTAGGTTTGCGGGAGCTTGTTCTTGTTGATCGATCGTCTGCCTGCTGCAAAGATGGCTGAGAAAGACATAGAGTATTTAAAGTCACCAGATGAGAAAACAAAATGGGAATCTACGAAAGAATTCATTTGGAATCCTCGAACAGGACAGTTTTGTGGAAGAACAGGAGCTAGTTGGGGTAAGCAGGAAGTGAAGTTGTATAATTTGTGCGTAACATAGCTGTTTAATTTAGTTGTAGAAAATTTTTTACCTAAGTTACACTACGTTATGAGGAGAGAGTAAAATTATACTGCAAGGCTTATCTACTATTGGATGCCGGATATATAGGGCTCCAAAGCTACGCCAAGCTCAGACTATAGTGGAGACACCCGAAATAGTGTCGTTAATGTTGCATACTCCTGGTAGCTGGGAGAGGAAAATCAAGCAATGCTTGAAGAATAAAAAAAAAATAAAAAAAACAAAAACTACTAATGAATATTATTATTAACACGACCTAAATTTCGTTATTCAATGTAATCATAAGAGAATATTTTTATTGCTAATTACGTATTAAAGTTGTGAAGAGCAAGAATAGAAATTAAAATAGGAAACTGAAGCCACTTTCCCAGATTTACTGTTCATTATCATATTGCTTGCATTTCCTGATTTAGGGATAAAATAATTACATTATGAAAGTATGCATCTTGAGTCACTAATTTACTTAGGTTAATAGTAAAAATCAAATTATTGCTAATTGAGTAAATTGCTTAAAACAATTTGAGGTAGTGTGAGTAGTACAGGCTACTTTTTATCAGTATACTATAATTATGATAGTGTGTAATTTTAGGTTTAGATTTTAGTTTTCACTAGATATAGCTAATAAGTAATGAATTATGTTGTAAATATGTTATAAAGGGTTATTAGAACACAATGCACATTTTGCAACAGCATTAGAAGATCTGACTTGGTGTAGAACAACAATATAATTTTCTTTCCAATTTTATTCAAACTAAAAAATGAAAATGCCAAATAATATGGTTATTTGAGGTAAAAATTATAAGCAAGTTTAGCCAAGTAGCATAAGAAAACATAAAAAATACTGTTTGAAGTTTTAGAAAAACTGTAAAAAACAGTTACATTTTTTAAAAAATTCAAGCAGTTAAAGCTGTACATCTAAAAACACTTTGCAAGCAAATTATGTAACAGAAAACTAGTGCTTTTTAATTTTCAAAATGTACTTGTATCATTAAAGTGGAGAAACTTTTTACACTCTTAATCTCCATTCAAACAATCATGCAAAAGCTAAAGTAACCAAATATTTATCTTTCATTATTAAATTACAATAGAAAGCTCAAATTATTATTCTTACTGCTGGAAAAATTATAGGAATAATAGTGAAAAAAAGAGTGAATTATTTAAACCTTTTGTGAACTCAAATTATGTAATCAGAGTTTTGTTTCTGTAATACTTATTTATAAACTTAATAAAATATTTTATTTTGCATATTACTAGTCCATATTTCTCAGTTGCAGTTGAAGTTTGCAAACTTATTGTTGGAGTAAGTTAAAAAGAAGTTGGATATTATTTATTGACAGTAAATTGTTGTTTGTCTCTGTCCTGCATTCAACCATTTAATCATAATTATGCCATATTTTACTTCATTCTTCAAACCCCTTGAAAGGAATTTTTGTAGCAGTGTGCATGTAGGTGTAATAGGTTTTAACTGCTATCTTAAGAAGGAGTGCCTTCTGTCTTCAGATATAAATTATGTTGAATCATAGCTCTGAGAACCAGAGTAAAAATTATAGCTGGTAATTATCATTACAGAAGAATCACATTACTGAGCTATATATATTACTTGCCTTAGACATTGATGAATAGTCTAACACTGATATATACAAATACTTCTATTTATTTTTTGCATTAGTTGTGAAAAAGCTCATCATATAAATAAAAGAATGATGAATTATGTTAATTTACAGTTAAGTAAAATTTCATTTTGTTTTTGTGCACATAGATGAAACATTTGGAGAATTTTTTTCACATACATGTTTTTGTTCAAGTCGGGCATTTTGATCTTTAGAACCTTACCTAAAAGTAAAATGTCTGTTATAGGTATAGGTCCGATTTCTACCAATCCAAACCCACTAAATTTGCATAACAATTTTTATTATGAGTAAAATTCAGAACAATCCAAATTCAGACATTTTTTAAGTGAAATATTATTACCTACCATTCTTTTATAATAAATATTTTCACAAGTACACGCAAATACTTTTCTGATTCTGAATTTATTAACTCCTCTTCTTAATTACTAAAGTTGTCTCTACTTGTATGATTCTAAAAAATCGACATTAATAACATCCACTTTGAAGTCTTATAGATACTGAAACATTTGTTTTCTGGGTTCAGTAATAGCAGTAAAACATTGTGCTATTAAACTTATTAAATATATGTTTAAAAAAAATAAATGCCAGAATTTGTACTTATACTGTATTAAAATACTTGATATTAATTATGACTTATAAAACAGGGTCTCATTCTGTTTGCTGAAAAACATTCAACTAACTTCATTACTTGATCAAAAAGAAAGTATTTTTAATAATGTTGTAATTAGTTTTAGACAACTAACTTATAAATGATAATGAAACTTGTAAGCTACCTTTATGATATCATTGCAAAGTTTCTTTAAAAGGAATGGTGAAAAATTTTAATTGTAAGGTAGCAAAATATAAAATAATTAGTAATAATGTTATTGATAAATCACGTCATTGCATTTAGATGTATTGGGTGTGTTTTGTACAATACTGACAAACATTTTCATATCAGCATTAGAATTTTCCTTAAATATATTTGTCTGATGCTTGCTTTAAAAACTCCCCTTGTGGGACAAGTAGTAAGTCTATTCACTTACACTGCTAAAATCCAGGGTTTGATTCCCCAAAGTGGACACAGAAGATAACTCAATGTGGCTTTGCTCTAAAAACAAACAAACATACTTTAAAAAAGCTAATGAGCTGAAAATTAGCATGTTGTCTAATTTTCAGAGTAATCTTGAAGTGCACTAAATATTCTTAAGAAAAGCACATTTATTTTGTTTAGTTTTAATTTTTGATTTTATAATGAATTAGAAATGTTTTTCACTGCAAAAAATATTAAGATTATTTTTGCATTGAACTTGAAATGCACTTGAAGCTGCATTTCAGTTTCATGCTTACAAATGTGATTTTTCCTAAATTTTGTGATTTTTATGTTTGTTTTGGAAACAAAATTTGTTAAACAGAGAAAGTAAAAACTTGTGTAACCATTTCTGAGTTTTTAATCTATACCTTAGTAACTTTAACATAGAATTTCATACAGCTATATATATGTAGTATCTTTAACATAAAAAATCTCTCATTGTGTCCAGAAATAAAGTGCTGGTAATAAAAATACATTGAGATATTAACATGTAATAATTTATTTTTAATTTAAGTACTTTATGAATGTATTTTAGTTTCTGTACTGTTCATTTATATGACAGCAGAAATTTTATTGAAAACATTTGTTAATAAAATCTCAATTACTTTGTTGTGACAAGTTGGTTTGGAGAACATGTAAAAAGGATGTTGTTTTGAATTCCTAGAATGTCCAAAGTTCATCCTCCCCTGGAAATTAAAGCAATTATTTAATAATTTCCATGAGAAGATCTGCTAAAATTCGACAATAATAATTACAATTAGTAATAAATTATGAATAACAGGCAAACTGTAAAACAGCTGCTATAATTCATCCATTAATAAACTCACATTGACATTTGTGTATTACTTCTTCAAGCGCAGACTTGGTTGTTTATAAATTTATCCACTTATTATACTTATAAATGCTTCGAAATTTTTTTCTTGCTCTGTCCACATGAACAGATATTGATGTACTAATGTCTTCTGTTGTAACCATAATTAGTAAAGTTTTGTTGTATGTATTAACAGCTATTGATGTACTAATGTCTTAAGTTGTAACCATACTTAGTAAGTTTCATGTTGAACGTATGAACAGCTGTTGATGTTATTAGGTATTACAATTTCGAAAGGTCTGAAATTGAGTTAAATGATACTTTAAATTTAGTAGTTAAATTGTACTTTGAATTTAGCAGTTCAGTAAAAGCCGATATGTAGTCAGTTTATGATATTTGCCAACAAAATTGATACACACAATTTTATTTTTTTTAAACACAAATACGTTTTAATATACGTACACAAAAATACAATTTACAATAACAGTTATTACAAACAATGATTTATAAACAAAAGTTTCACAAACTTACAAGCAATATAAAGTCTTCTTTCTAGGCTGGAACTTCTTCGATATCTTATCGAGGGTTCAAGATGAACAGGTTGATGTAGGTACAATTCCCTTAACGGGGAACTAGCTAGCTTTGTCCTTCGTTATTCACCAGCCACACACGCTGAGTTTTACACGATGAAGTTATATAATGTTTTCGTAAAAATACTAACGTTCGATGAGAATCCACTGAAGTTAAATGGTTTATAATGTTCGAACTTTGTAAATGCTCCTTGTCAAATATTTGAAGTTTTCCGATTGATAAGCGTTTTAACAATCACAGTTATATCTTCCGAAGTTTATAGCACACTGACTATAGCAAACTAATAATAGATACTCCTCTTTTTTGGCGTGTCCCGTTGGTTATATTTATAGGCGTTTACGTACATACATATATTGTACATTCTTACACTCGAGAATCTTCTACAACTTTAGAGAATAGGCGG